ACTATATCCTTTTCTGGGTGCTGATTTGCTTTATCACTTTTCATTATACATGAAGAATTTCTTGAGTGATAATAGGCAAAATTATCAATATAATTTTTTTCAAGGAAGGAAATGGGGATCTGGAGTCAAAAGAGGCTTCTTATAACCCTTCATAATATTTGAGGTGCCTTTTCTTACATACGTATCTATTACTTGTTAAATTTTTTTAATTTTTTTTTTTTTTTTGGCAGTATTTGGCCAGGGCTGGGTTTAAACCCACCACCTCCAGCATATGGGGCTGGCACCCTACTCCTTTGAGCCACAGATGCCGCCCAATTTTTTTAATGTTTTTTTGAAGAAAACTGATTTAGCAACTTGTTATAATACAAAGAGTACTATTAGTTTGTAAGTTTTTGTACCAGCTTCTGTTTGGGATTAAAAAAAAAAAAAAAAAGAGGCACATATTGGTTTATATGAAACCTGGCCCTACTGTTAAGTGTCTTAATCTGGAGCCAGGTTGCAGGGTTAGTAAATCCTTGTGACCTTGGGCTAGGGACCTGATATGGTGGGTTTCTTCAAGTATCTACTGAGGAAAACCAATTTTTAGGGTTGTTATGAGAATTAGTGAAATTATGCATGTAAAGTACTAAACATACTGCTAAGCCCAGAATAAATGCTTGACGAATGTTAGCTGTTTTTTAAATTAAAAATTCATAAAGCCATGGAGTCTTTGGAATCAAACCATCTATGTTTTTTTTGAGGGGGGCATGGATTTCAGAAATGATAGGCTTTTTTTTTTTTTTTAAGATACAAATTTATTTTGTTTTTTTAATCCCTGGAGTTTTACATGTGACCTCATTTAGCAAGAATTGTTACAGTTTAATCCCCAGTAAATCTACAAAAGCTTTCTCCTGTGAGATCATGTCAGAAAGAGATTTCATTGTATTGCTAACCTATGCCATTAGGTTTTAGGTTTGTGTGCAATTTGAAGTTTCTGATCTGTGATGAATAACTTGACTATTAACAGTTGAGACTGACACCACGTTCTTTGAACCATTTTGAGAGTAAATCAATTCATTAACTTAAATGTAGTCTTCTGTCTTCAGCTCACAGCATTTTCAGACTCCTGGGATTCAAGCAATCCTATTCCCTCAGCCCATTGAATAGCTGGGACTATAAAGCACCTGTTATAATGCCTGGCTAATTTTTCTATTTTTAGTAGGGATAGGGTTGCCTTCTTGCTCAATCTGGTCTCAAACTCCTGAGTTCAAGGGTTCCTCTCACCTCACCTCCCAGAGCACTAGGATTACAGATGTGAGCCACTGTGCCCAGTCTCTTTATGTATTCTTGATGCTAGACCCTTATCAGACAAGTGATTTTCAAATATTTTCTCCTGTTGTGTAGATTATCTTTTTACTTTCTTGATAGTATTCATTGTTTTTTTTTTTTTTTTTGTAGTGACAGAGTTTCACTTTATTGCCCTCGGTAGAGTGCCGTGGCGTCACAGAACTCACAAACTCCTCGAATTCGGCAATTCTGTTGACTCTGTCTCCCGAGCAGCTGGGACTACAGGCGCCTACCACAATGCCCAGCTATTTTCTTGTTGAAGTTTGGCCAGGGCCGGGCTTGAACCCGCCACCCT